CTCTGATCCCGTCGCAGCACTCTACCGGTGGGTATCGTCGACCAGCTGCGTCGCGCATTGTGGCCGAGCCTACGAAAGATTACCCCTAGCAAGCAAACCTCCTGTAGTTGCCGTCTTCCTCGTCGCGGTTGTGACGTTTCCTCTGCCAATTCTCGCCTTCCCTTACCGTCACCCGGCATCATCCATCTTTATTAAGTAAAAACCACAGTTATCATTCGAGCGAGCTCTCTCGAGGGACGGCGGTGATGGCGGTAGCTTTGTCGGCGGCTGCAGTTGCTACTACCAACATTTGGCTAGGCCTCTCCAGGCGCCGATTCTCTCTTTTTGCTCTTTGCTTCTTCCTTGCGGCCGCCACACAGCGAACGCAGGTCGGACCGGCTGCTTTTGCCCTGACTTCCTCTATCTGACTCTTCTCGTATCGCTCCTTTGCCTCGCGCCTTTCGTCTGCCTGATTTAGGAGAAGGGGTAAGAGGAGCAGGAGGAAAAAATAAACGACTCCTGCCGTGGAACGGTCTCCTGTGCCGATGTTGTCCTTTCTTCTATGGGATGGCGACGGTGGAAAGCGTGAGATAAAAGGGCGACGGCCAGTCGTTCGCTCGGGCACCGCATAGGAGTCACTGAGGCCAAGGGTGACTTGACTGCTCCGCTTCTTGTACACCAGCACTACCATTGGCTCCGCCGTTGCTCTGAGTACTAACAGCGTCACATAACTGTGTTCACTACCGAAACACATTCCTTTCTTTTTTCTATCCTCTTCAAGTACAACGCCTTTCCTGAACGAAGCCTTTCAAAAGAGCCTGCGAACGCCGTACTTAGTGCCCCTATGCTTGTCGTGGAGCTCACTTAGCTTCGGTCTGCTTCGCTCGCTCTCCGTGCACTAAATTCGTCTTGATTTTTCGCTGCACACTACTTCGTGAGTGTCATAACCGCCATTGGTGTCACCGCAACCGTCGCTGCTTTCGCAGACAGCCTTACCATAAGGATAACGCAATGAGGATAAGTAAATTAACGGAGGGTTGGGCGGAATGGGAAAAGGGATGGAAGAAGGGCATCGTTGCGGTCGAAGTGTGCAGAGCTACTCGATCGAACAGGGCATGTGTACGCGTCTGTCCGAGTGCAGCTGCTCTGCTGCCCAATAGACTTGGCTACTTCTTCGTTAGCAAAAGCAGGCTGAGCGGTCAGACGACGACGCTTTTGGTTCAGTGTCCTGTGGGAGTATTATCTGTCAGCAAGGGAGAGGATGACCCTCCAAAACATCCCCTGTCCAACACCGCCCCCTCACGTCCCTCTCCTTCTTTGGTCCCGTGGCCGTCCCGTTCGTTGTTGCTCCACAGAGACGCATCTCTTCTTACAGCCCGTTATTCGCCCAAATAGGAGGCACTTCCTGGATCATCAGGCGGCTTAACTCTCTAGAGTTCATCTTGCTTTCCCCAGGACCACCATTGCCTCTTCGACTTCTTTACTTAAGTAAAGGAAACGAGTCCGAGTGGTCTTGAGTGGAAACAATACATGTGTCGTTTATAATTCATATTCTATTCAGATGAACTGAAAGTCATTTAACGGGAACCAAAAACAAAAAGGTTCCTTTCATTAAGTTAGTTGAAGTGGACAAATTTTTTGATACCGTCTAAATCTGAAGGTGCTCCAGGGTCCTAGTTGTGCTTTAGCTTTGTTGGTGCGCTGGATGCTTCTAGCGTACAACTCAAAGAAATCTGCGGCTAACAAGTTATTTAAAGTAATTTGCATTTGATTCCCAAAGTACGAAGTCGTTTGAAAACTTATTGAACAGATTCATCATGTATTGGGGGTGAAATGTTGAATGTCTTTTTCTTCGCGTAGTCATCAGGAACTTCATTCATTTTCAAGGATTTGGGTAATCAATTCAACTATTTTCATTTGGACGGATTTCTTTTTAAACGCGAAATAAAAATGAGTAACTCAGATTATAATTTTCCGCTACAACGAAAATGCCGCAAAACAAACTTTATGTGCCTACGTAAAGGTTCGCTAAAGTATTGTGGCTGAAGACAAGATTTAACCAAACCACATAAACTACCACGTAAAATTTGCTTGTTGGCTCTTGGCTGGGTCATGAACGCTTCACCATCGAACTAAACGCTCAGTCAACAACACAAGATTGTTTACTTATATTTAGAAAACCCCCTAGGAACACGTGTAAAAGAGATCTTGTACACGTATAAGTCTTGTCGTTTCCAATAGACAGACTATCTATTACTTCCAACACCTCACTATTACTGTGTAGCCGCCGACAATATAGACGCATGTACTATCATTTGTTTCCAATGATAACTGACTGACCGATGACTAGCTGTTTGTTATATTTGGGATTTATATGTACTTCAAAGGACATCATGTTGATATTTACTACACTGCTTGCTTAATCATGATTTTTCGAACGAATGAAATTTGTCTATGCTGCCTGTAAAAGAGAGGAGAAGCCCGGAACAATCCTGATTTGTTCATAATAAAATGCTCTATCCCAGAAGGAGTTGATTTGTCGAAAAAAATAAAATTTGCGCAGATCTTTTGCAATGATAAGATGTTTCCTCAGGTTGAAGGCCCAACAGAAACTACTTTTTCCGCATTCTCAAGGATCACCTGAGTGAAGGCTAAGGCTGAAGCTGAAGGTGCTACTCCAGCTGTGATTCTAAGTGTAGATTCAGAGATTCAGGGTTATTCCTGTGAACATCCGTCTTATCGTAAGAGTTGTCGCGATTGGTGATTGGCTGTTAGGCCATCTTGTTCGCAAACGGCAGTAACGTGTCCATACCCGGGGCAATTGTTGTCAGCGTGCCCATCTATTCTGCAACCCAGCCACATTTCGCTACAGGTTTGGTCAACAAATAACACCAACATGGTGTATAGTGATATTTATTGAAGTAGCTAAGAGCTAAGGCTTCTGACAAGGAAGGAAAAGGAATAACAAACCCTTTAACAGGTCAAAAAAAAAACTGATTTTAAATCGAACATCGATATGTTTACTATCGAAGAAGCACTGTGACGTCAACCCCGCCCAGTCGTTTCTATGTAGTCTTCTTACTGTATTATCCTCTTTTACAATATGGTAATGATCGATCCCGTTCTCTTGTGAATTATAACTTTTGAAGAAAGGTCGTGCATCCTTCACCAGTATGTAACAACTACCCTAAATGAAGATACAAGCGTGCAGTATCAATTGCAAACGAAGTATGTACGAGTCTTATCGTTATTTCAGTTTTTTGAATTATTTGTATTTACCTGTAATTTTAACCAAGCTTAATGAAAAAAAAAAAAAAACTGAAAGGATTCAACGTTATATTGATCATTATTCGCTTTCATCCGCCACAACTAAATCAATAGAGGGCTTATTATCGAAGTAAGCTGAAATTTTTGAAGCCACTTCTTCTAGTAGCACCCACTCAAGGGCTGTTAAAGAGGTTGTTAGTAAAAACGTATGTAGTACAGTCTTTAGGGAACGTACGATAACATGGTGGAAGTATGGATGTGGTGAAGCAGAAAAGCTAAAAAAGCTAGATGATGGTAGAGCAGCTTTAAACAGAACAAAAAAAGACCAATAATCACAGCATTGTGTATGAGACGCCAATGAAGTGAGAACAATCGTACCACGGACAGATGGGTAAAAAGGTTCACAAGCGCATGCATAGCAAATCCCAAACCGGTTTTATAGAATTTAACAAAAAAGCCTGGACGATCTCAAACTACTGTAAAGGACGCGCTCCTTGTCGACCCATCTCTAAGAATACAAATGTGATTGATCGTCATCGTATTCAAAACGGAAGGAAGTTATCAGAGGCGTTCTCCACCAGATACCGAAGGGAGGGTAGCACTGCATAAACCCTTTTTTAGTTTCGAGAGAGTTCCATTTTATAAAACCAAATATAATAGTAATACGACTATCCACAGATGCCCTCCAGGAGGGGCAATCAAGTAAGCTACAAGTAGAAAGGACGAAATACAGTGCACTGTGCTGCCATCTTCTTTAAGTTAGTAACATGAACAGCACGGGTAACAGGCCAAGTATCGGACCTCGAACCTAAGTCGAATAAATATTTAGCTTTAATTGCAATACAATAACTAAAAAGCATAAGAATGGCAAAAATACAGACATTGTACTTAGTTCGAAATGTATATAAAATATCTATTCTCAGATGTCTGCATTTGTCCAGATAGCACTGAAATAATACGCCAGTGTTGCTTTTACCTTCTACATTTTTGACTGTCGTAAATGTCTGCTATGCTCTATGAAAAATCTATTTTGCACTACAGTCCCCTATGTTTTATGCTTTTCCTTGATTTTTAAGTTAATATTGTCGTTAGTACAAAACGCAACGTGTTTAAGCTTGGGCTCGAAACGAAAACGTGTCCCTAAAATTTCCGCGCGAGCACTTCGCCCCCTAGGCTAGCACGATGATTCGCAGAACCACCCTACAACGTTCCGAGGCAATACATATGTATATATACTGTTTTCTTCAATTGCTTTCTATACTGTAATCACAGGCGCTACCTTCTTATATTAATCTTCCAGTAATTTTTCAAAGGGATTCAAAGGGCATTAAAGAAAAACCTTTTTAACAGTCTGATTGTCAAGCAGTTCTAAAAATCTTAATGAAGATCTTTAATTCAAAAAGTTTCCTTTGTGAAAGATAGACCTGACTGTGGAAAGTAGATCAAACAATTTGTGAACATGGCTTCAATGCCTAGTGACTCAATACCGCACTATTGATTACAAATGTGAATCTATAATCAATTTTTCAAATTAACGTTTGTCCCATGATCGTATTCATTTAATCTAGCCGCCTCGTAGTTTCAAACCGTTACTGTTCAACTGGTTTTTTTTTTGTTATCTGAGCTTCGTTCACGGTAGCAGGATCGCTGCGCACCGTTAAAGGCCTCCTGGTGCGCCGCTCCTCCCCGTTACGCGCGACGATGATCCAGTTTGAACTGGAGCTAGGGGCAATAGACAGCTGATTGCCGCCAAATAAAACATCCGCTCCGACTGACACTTGAACAGTACAGCTGATAATAGAACGGGGTCGATAAAATTTAGTACAAGCTTAGAGGCAGTTAATACGGAACTCGTTTTACGTGTGTAAACGACTTAGTGGCCAAATTTTGACCTGTAAAAATGGATTCGAGTAATATTTTAGGAACAGCAGGACTGACGTGCGCCCTTAAAGAAGCCGAGTCAACTGATACCGAATTCGAAACAGCTCTAAATCATTGTCTGGGTAAGAAACTTTTGCTTCCCAAAAATAGGACACTTCTTCTGTAGACGAGTTTCAGGCGACTATCACAACGACTGCTAGCAAAATAAGGTTCATCACTGATTTAGCTAATTCCCCGTTAGCAAACAAAATATTGTCTCTCAACTGTTTCACACATGCTGGCAAAGTGTCCACCAAAGTTGAAAAAAAAATAGCTCAGTTGAGGCTGAGTTGCTCAGACCTAAACGATTTTCGCCGTATGATGTACGGCGCATATATTCAATACAATATTAAACTCTTGAAGTCTTTCAAGATAGTTTGTGAGATATCTATCTGCTCTTGTAGTGCATAAAGCACAGTTAGCAGAGCATATAACCGGCCAGGCATAATCAATATCTCTACATAGATATCTAACGTGCTGTAATAAATTTGAAACTAATAAAAAATTTCTTTAATGAATACTAGCCTTTATTAGGATTCAGTACTTAGTTTAAACCATTTGCCCAACTTATAAACAGGGAACAAAGGGAATATGCTTTTTTTTTTTAAACATGTTTTTTGTGTAGTAAGAAAGCGAAATAGAAAACCTAAATCATATTTCGCATGTAGCCTCCGCCAACAACGTAAACAGGAACAGTATTTATACGTATGTGTACGTCGTGTACAATCGTCTCGACAAAATTACTCTACTGTTTTTTTTAATGGTACTGCTACGGAGATGCACGAAACGGATAAAAATGACTGCCCCAAATGAGATGTCTGTGCAGTGTACATCGGGACCGATTTTTATTAGTGCAACTTCATAATTATCCAGACGGTGCATGCTGCGAAAGGAATCGCTATGCTGGACAGAAGTGAATTAAGGACCCAACTATATCTTCGTTCTAGTATTCGTATGTGTTACAAGTTCGGGTACTGTTGTTGGGTTTGTAGCTATAATGATATGGGGTTTCTGTATAATGATATGGATCCAATTTATTTTCTGTCGCATTACTGCACTGAAAAATTTTTGATTGTATCTATATAACTCAAAATAGAACTTCATATTTGTGGGTTATCGAAAATTTTAGCGGAATTAGTCTGAAGCATAGTTATGCATCGTAAAGTTCTGTGTTTGGTGTAGACATTACCCTTATTTTGGTTATAGTATGAAGGTTCTAGAATGGATTCCATATATATATATATATATATATATATATATATATATATATTTTTTTTTTTTTTTTTTTTTTTTTTGTACTATTTTTATATATATACATATATGCATTTTATTTTAAAATCCGATGATGAAGATAGGAAAGCATTTTTGAGAGGCTGTGCAATTTTCTCTTCAGAAAGAACTTTTTAAATGTACTTTCTTCTGCTTACCGATTATTTTTATAAATCTAAACTATCGAAAACAAGTTATGTAGAATAAGAAGGCAGTTTTAAACAAACTGTTCCATTTTTTAAATTCTAGTTCAAATATCGCTAATTGCTAATCGGCCGTTGTCCTACTTTAGTCAGCCCTCGATAAACACTTGAACACTATTTTCGAGTCCTGTAGATAGTCAATTTTTTTTTTATTTCGAAGCTAACTCTCCTGTGAATTCACACCTCCTAATTTGTGCACTTTGTTTAAATTACAGATAACCTAATCAGTGACGAGTCGCTTCAACAGCCAAAAGATTCAAAAGTAAGAGTAATGTATGTAGGACTTTGCGCCTTCTTTTTAGAAGCGGCAAAGCAGGCATTAAACGACGCTGATTTTTTGCTGAGTCTTCAAGAAGCTACCGGAGTTGTCGATTCAAAGCGAATCCTCATTCTCGCCACGGCTTTTAAAGAGCACTTTTCTGAAATACGACATCGATTGGAAGAGCTTGGCGTATCGGGTCCTGCCTTGACGGATTCATTAGCTTCTCTTACGTGCCGTTTGACCTCGACAGAGGTCGAGAAGTTGGGCGAAGCGGAATGTGTGGTCAAATTGAAAACGACACTACCCGAAAACGACGTCCAGTTCAGCTGCTCACTTCTACAACTAGAAGATCTCGTTTGGACGTTACGACAAGCTAGCAAAATCGTTGAGCATCATGCTCAATAATATCGATCGAATTCTGAAACGTTCGTAGATCACAGACTGTTTATGTTGGATATATGAAAAATATTGTATAAGTGGCTGCATTTGAAGCTCCACAACGGCATGAGAACTTACAAGTATGATGTGAAATAAAGCCTTAGAAACCTGTGTTATTACGATATGCGTTGCCGTTTTTTGTGTGTATATATTTGATCAAATCTTATTCGTGCTCGTTTTCCATGGTTCTTACAAGTAGATATGCTTGCAGCCCTATCTGTTTGTATCTCTAGACTAAAATCAACTAACTAAACAAGTCATAAAAACAGAACAGGATAAGAATCAATCATGCTGTTCTAGTCTTAAAGAAACACAAAAGCAAAATGTGTATATTGACTTTTTTAAAATGTTAACAGAAATTTTGATCTGAACCCTCGGTTGACCTTCACGGCTAGAATGATATTTTCGCCTCTTCACAACGTCAAGGTGAAGATTCACTTGCCACATGGCTGAAGCACGGTCACGAGCTGTTAGCCCTAAAAGGCGCTGGTACACGGATAGCCGAGCGCAGCAAATCTACGAGCAGATCTACTACACGTTATCATCGCTGTAGCGCCACCTTCAAAGAACTGTGTGGTGGGCGCGTCATGGGTAACGAGTTCCTCCGTCTCATGCAGCCGGTGAAGGTTGACGACGTACAGGGGGCCAAAGCAGCGCAGACGATCATCATAATGACAAGTTAGCGGAAGGAACAGGCAGACAACAATGAACCCAACAATGTGTGTACATTTAGCGACACCAGGAAACAGCCTCGAAATCTTTGCCGTCGAGACCCCGCCGCCGTGGCGTAGCCGAAATGTGTAATGGTTACTCTTAACGACTCGACGAGAAACCGCTGTCGCTCCTGCGTCTGCTGTTTCTACTGCTGTTGTTAGCGTGGCTGCGGCACTGGTCACAGCTAAAATAAATCGTACACCCCTAACCACTCCTCCCCTTCTGACTTCTTTCTCTGTCACATTGGTCTAGGAAGGGGCCACGACGAGTCATATCTTTTCTCGTTTCGCCAGTCATCCCGCTACGGCACCGGTGGCGTTCGTCGTAGCAGCAACGACGGTGGACGAATGGGCTCGCTGATCCCGTAGCTTTCAGACATCGCCCAAACCATTGGGCACCGACAAAAGGGTGGTGGACGCTATTCTCTATACCGAGAAATAACGGCAGCAGCAACAGCAAAAGCTGCAGCGCCAAAAGTCTCCCTTAAAACCAAGAGCGTCCCGAACTAAGGGTAGCGAGGCAATGACACGAGCAAAACATTAGCGTCCTTTTCACTTTTGCTCAGCTCAAACCTCTTGCCCATATCCGCACCACCTACCCCCAGACAAGCCTGGCGTTTCGTTACCTGTAGCTGCGGCCAGTACCATTTGGCACGGGTGGAAACGATCCACAAGGAAGTAAAAGAGCTAAAGCTTGGATCCCCTAGACCCATTCATGACATCACATATCATCTGATTCGCCCCTAGTTGTCTGTATTGCGTCTATCTATCAGCATTCCGCAATGTCTTACACCTAATTTTCGTTTGCTTACGCTTACCTGTTTTTTTACATTCAACGGCTTCATTCATGTGTACTGTGTGATCTCTCAAGTGGACTGCTTGGAACTGACCTAGCCCTTCGGCTACCACGAACAGAAAATTTCCATTCTTTACCTTACACTCAGTAGTATTCTGAACGTGATTTAGGATCCCTTCTGCTTATCAACCTCTTCATCATAGAGAGTTGTTAAAAAAACGACACGCCGAATATGAGGTTACATTTTTTCCTGCTGAAAATGTAACTGCTATGCATGACTATATCTAAGAAAAACTAATGACATTTTCTTTCAAAGAAAGAAACTTGGCTCGAAGTTTTACAAAACCAATTTTCCCTAAAAAATAATTAGTTTTAACTGGGTACTGTTTTCTATAAGATAGAGCCATTTTCATAGGTCAAAGGTCTTTGAATATATTGTTAATTCCTCATTTATGTGCCTTTAGACCGGAACGGTTATGCTGAAGTAATTTCTACGTATCTATGTTTTCAATGATCAAATGACGCCAGTAGAAATTATTTAAGGGTGATTGTTATTAATTAGGTTGTCTGAAGCTATTGTGCGGCTCGAAAAATTTGAATAGCTTAAACTATACATCATTAACAAACAAAATTTGCAAAATTTTGCATTAATTTTTAGGCTATTTACGATTATGAGCTGATTTAGGGTTATCAAAGATAATGAGTTCAGAGGCGAAAATATAGTTGAATGCCGAGTCGAACAGGATAAAAAAAAAAAGGACATCTTCAACAGTGCTGAATAGATTACGGGGTAAGCTAATGTTCACATTTGCAACCGACATTAGGAGCATTTCTCATTGCGAGCTGTTGCTCGAAAAGCAAATCTCGATTTCGGAAGGACCTTATGAGCATATTGAGCCGTCATTGACAGCACGCGTTAAGTGGGTTGACGACAACACACGATTTCATTGTCAAGCTTCAATCATCACTTAGAGTGAGGAAAACAGAATCGAGTGATAGTTTTAGCTTCCATATTTTCGGGTTTCAAGTGCGCGTGATTTGGACTGCCTTTAAATTCCAAAAAAAACGATAGATAGCATGCGTTATCGCCAGTTCTCTCAGTTAGGGCGCTGATAACGAGATGGTTAAGAATGGTAGTGGAAATCGCAGGAATTTAGTTATTAAGAGACCTATTTAGACACTGCCTCCAATGTACGACCAACAAGGGAAGTGTACATAGAGAAAAGTATTTTTTAGCTTATATTGGTCAAAGATTATTTAAGTTTTTCGACCTGCAGCCGACAAAATATATTACCTACCATATCTTTTTGTTGAGGATGTTTGAAATTTCTTGTAGCTGATATATTTGTGGTACGAATTTGAAGCCACTAGTATCTTAAATCATCTTTGATCGCTATATATATATAATATCTTTTTCAGTAAACAGTCAAGTCCAGATACACACATGGGTGGAGGATAGGCGAGCCAACAAGATGACTGCAATAGATTGTGTAAAAATGTGATTGGGGATTTCCTAAATGTCATTTGGTGTTATTCGACCGGCCGGTCGATGTGCTGGCTGCGTCGGCGTCAGCATGTAATTCTCCTCTCTGTTCAAGGAGATGACAATGGTGCCGGCTCCGCAAATGGGGACAGGGGCAGATACGTTGTATATCTTAGACGGGAGAGTCGCACGAAGAGAGCTCTGCGATCTTTGGAAGGTTTGGAGGTCCACGGGTTGGTCTTGCAAGTATGAGTGGGAAGACAGCCGTGAAAGCTGCCGTGCCAAACACGAAAGGGGCAGGTCTGCATTTAATCGACTTCTTTGCTTGGGGCCAAGAGACGAGGCAAGGCGAGGCTAACTCAGCGAGCCAGCCGGTCGTCGCTGTTTAGGAAAAGACTGGGGCATGGTCGACGCAAGAAGCGAACGCGGCTAGCGACGAACTTGTTTAGACCCCTGTAGCATGGGAGTCAGAAGTCGACAGTGGCCGTGGACCAACAGCCGACCAAGCTCTTTCATTATCCTGCCATCGCTCTACCGAGGCTCTCGAAGGAGTTATTGCAACGAGACTGTAGCACACTTTCAAAGGTGGCAGATTCTGGGACTCTGGCGGGTACAAACAGTACCATACCTCGAAATAGAGAACAACCACTACTAGTACTACATTCAACGACAACGACGGTCGCTCTCCAGGAAACAAGGCGCAAAGAATGGGCTGAACCGTAGGATAGAGACTAAAGGAGACAGTCTCCTGGGCGGCGAAGCAAGGGCCGCAGTTGACTAGACGGTGGGTTGGGCATAGCGAAAGGTAAAAAGCACGCTTCTTCGACAGAACTGCTCGTGACATCCAGCCCTTCTGAAGCACATGGGCTAGAGATGAAAAGAACATCGACAGCGATAAGCAGACTAGACCCGCTGACCGGGTAACCGCAGCGGGCCAACCTCGTCGCAGTCATTCAAACTGGCTGATAATCTATGGATAACTTTGTGATCCGAAAGTGACGGGAGAGACGAGACGAGCGCTTAACATCGGAACTCAGTAAGTAAAGTCTAGGTCATAAGCAGCATAGGATAACCTGGCATTTTACGCATCTTATTTAATTCATCTTAACGAGTAGGCATGCTTAATGGCAGTCTGTGGAAGAATCTGTTTCGATGTATTGAACCGTAATTATTAGGCCGTTATAAGCGTATCCGGCAACCTTGAAATTGAGGTACGTGCCGCTAGAGCATGAAATTTAGCTGATAAATAATCCTGTCTTTTAGAAATTTGTGAATCAAAACCGGTTGAGCTTGCTTCATGGAAAATGAGTTCGAAATGAAAAACATATCTTAGTCTGGGGAATTAACACTCAGTGGTCGGGTGTTTGTTCTTCAAAGGCCGCAGCGCCACGGAAATCCATCGTGGGTTGCTGAATACGATAGGCAACGAGATTTTACGTAAAAGCATAGTACGTGAATTATGCAAAGGTCTAAGGAGCAAGCACTGCAATGTTGAAGGCGAGTAAGGATTAGATATCGAAACCTGGAGGAAAGAGTGCATGGCCTCAATTGAGGAAGCTTTTTATGGGCTTAGAAAGCTTGAAGTTTAAAAGTTCTCTCAGCCAAAACTGGCTTTTTACACGTAACCTATTACAGGATTGTCACCCAAATGCCGAAAATGCGATAAAAGAGTAAAAAATGGGTCTTTCAGGTCAAATGGAAATGCGTGTGGTGTACTTAACGTCCAGTTTGCGGAACCTTCATCAACAAAAAAAAGTCACCTGAAACATACCATCGCAACAGATGAGATAATAATAACAGATGAGATGGCGTGGCCCTGAAGTGCAAGTGAGTTTGTTGGCAGCGTAAGGTAATGGTGGTACTTGCAGTGGACATCAGAGGCATCTACTTGTATGGGATACACTCCGGTAAGGAAACAATGAGTACAGCTTGCTATCTTGAGTTCTTCAAAAGACACACGGACCCTTGGAAATCGAACGCCCACAATCTGTTTACTTTATGACGACTTATGGATGAAGCTTACAATGCGCCTCAATTAATTGCTCGATTGAGCAAGGGAGTATTTAACGTTGGCTTCAACCTGCTTGTTCCCCCGATTTAAATCTGTATAATCACGGGCTCT